GAGAGAGAGAGAGAGAGAGAGAAGAAAAAAAAGGATGAACTTCTAGCATCTATTCTTTTTCATTTATCCTAAAATTATATCTATTTTTTATTAAATAACATTAATTAATATAGGATTAATAATAACTTTTTAATTAATAAATTAACTAACGATAATTTTTAACCTAATCAATTTAAAACATTTTAATTCTTTTATCTCATTTTCAGTTCCTAATCATAATTGCATGCGGTGGACCACTAGTGATATTTGTAATTTTTGTAATTATGCTAAGCCGGCAACAAAGGTATCGTTTGTTAAGTAATAGGCGTAAGTATTATCCGCTTGCTCATAAAATTGATCATGATGTTACCGATTTATTGGATGAAAATTGCAATCTAGAAGATGAGTTATGATATTTTCCCGTTCCATAAATTCATAATTTATAATCAAATACGGAATTGTTAATTAAATTGTAATTGACAAAATGAAATTGTTTTACTCTTCTTTTCCTTTGCTCAATTATGTAAAATTTATCAGATAGTAATTTACCTAATTAATTTAATTTCTTCATTTGCTTTGTAATTATTCAATGGTATTGGATAGAAATAAAATTCCATTGTAAAATTTTGTATTTTTCTTTCATTGAAAATAAAAAAAAAAGAAAAACAGAAAGTGAGAAAATTGCATGATAATTTTAAAGAGGAGAAGATTCTGTTACTAATTCTTCTCGAAATGATTGCCTTTTTCTTGCAATCTCACTAATTTCATTTCTTAATTTCGTAATTGTTTAATTCCGAACTTTTTTGAAAAATAGAATAAAGGAATCATTCTTATTTTCTCTTTTTTTTTCCAATCAATTTGTATGAAAATGGCTTGATAATAATAATGATAAATTATCACATTTTATGAAATGATATATGTCTTTGTTTTTTTTTTTTTTACTAAAAGAAAAAGAGAATTAGCAAATTAGCAAATTAAGAATTGGAGAATTATTAATTCGAATTAAGTGAAAAAATTGAATGATAATAATTTAATACGATAAATACAATTTGTGATAATTGAAAAGTGTATAGATTATTTGTTAGTCAATTCTTCTGGAGCCAATCGATGATAACATTTACAAGAAGGAAGAAGAATTATCAATGATTGATTGCCTAAATCATTGGGAGAAATCTCGGGATTCATTTTGAAATGTAAACATTTGGAATTGTTATTTGAGAATAGTTTTCAACTAGTATTCACACTTTTTATCTTGAATATATGATCGATTTGATATCATTTTTCTCCTTTTTTCGATCACTACTATATAAATTAAAGGATATGAAAGTTTACGTGTAAAAAACGTTGAAAGCTGTGTTTATTCATGGATTAATTGTATAAAATGAAGAAAATGAAATTTATGAAACAATTTTTCATACATTAATGTGTAGAAAATTTTTACGAATAAGATTTCGTATGTGAACAAGAGAGTGAAATCACGCTTAAATTTCACGTAAAGATGAGGATACATTCGAAAATGGATAAACGTTAAACGTGAAACATAAAATGTTCCTATTCAAATTACTAAATTGTTACAACTAACTAACAATAAACCAACGTCTAATGATGGAACGAGTGACACAACGCAACAGCAAGTATGGATGCATCAATGTATGGATAATGATCACCGAACGGTGAGATGTGGCTATTTTGACCGGTGGCTATCTACTATGGACCCGTATCGTCGTCAAGTTGGCGCCATTTCTCGTATCATACGTTTTTTGATTGGTGATGAAATTTGGACACGGCATCATTTCGTTGTTTTTTTGTTTACATTTATAAGGTATGTAATTTAGTTGAATTAAAACTGATAAAAATTTGCGTGTTTAAATTTAGCAAAAAGTTAAAATTTAATTAAAAGTGTAAAGATTAACGGTTGAGGTTTAATAATATTGGCAGTAAATATTATGGCAGTGATTATTCTAGTGCTTAAAGTTAAATTAGAAATTTAATTGGCATGGATTTGTTGTAGTATTTGTTGAAATTAGTTTGTCTCACAGTTTGTTTGTGTTTTTTTCTCTCTCTTTTCGCACTCATTTCATCCGGTTAATGTATTATTTTTTCAGTTTATAGTATTAATAGAAATGAAATTATGTGGCTGATTTCACTTTTAGTTATGCATTGGTGCATGCTTCACGTAAAACGTTAAGCACGGTAAAACATTCTCTTATCATCGAGTGGACTGGTAACAGTACCGGTGAGCAACCATTATTTCCTGATAAGCATGCAGCGGAAGGGTTCTTAGCATTCCTCGATGGTGCATTCCTCGGCGCATATGCTTTGGTGTGTATTTATTTCATTTTAATTTTGAAAAATTAATGGTTATTTTGAAGATTTTGCAGAAATATCGTCAGATTTACAGTGGTAACAAGGGACGAAATCATGTGAAAAGAGAAGTTGTTTACATTTCACGTGATTTCATCACTTGTCTTTAAAGATAAGCTGTCAGTTACGAAGGAACGGTATTAGCGAGTAAAGAATATTGAGAAAAGATACAGATAGTATTGAGAGATGTACAGGAAGTTAGTACTGTTATTTACAGGGTCTTTATGCAGGTGGCACATTGGGAGACCGTTATAATCCGAAAAAAGTACTTGCTTTTAGCATGTGGACATCATCCTTTACCGTAAGTTTAGTAAATATGTAAAATTTCTCATATTTTATTGTATTGGTTATTGATTACTAATCGAATCTTCTCGAAATGAAATGGGCGAAAGCAACGTTTAGTTGATATTCAGGAAAACCAAAAAGATTTTATGAAGCGACGAAATTTCCGATAATTTGACTACTCTGTTGTGTCGAGCTGATGAAATTTGTATGCTTCAGTTAGCCTATATAACAGGAGAAGTGTGTTACTAAAATAATTTATTGTAGAACAAGTGGATTTGGGATAACTGCGCTCGAAATGAGGTCAAATTTCAGTTGCATCGAGACTATCACATCAGTAGTTTAAACGATCAGCCGTATAATCTCGATTGATTTATCAATATGTAAGCATTTGTTTTTGCAGGTGTTTTTGTTTGGAATACTGAAATGGTCGTTGTTTCGTTCGCCGATACATTACGCCGCAACATGGATTGCATGTGGTTTATTTCAGTCTCTTGCTTGGCCTACCGAAGTATCTTTTTCACAGTTTGTTTGGAAAATTCGCTTTAAGTGCTTTTGAATTTATCTTGGAGACAATCTTATGAAATCTTGTAAAGACGATTTTATAAAATAACTTACCGTAGTTAAGTTAAGGGTAACTCTTGTAATTTCTCATGTAGTGAAGCACGAAATTGATTGCAGATCTCGATTATGGGTAATTGGTTCGGGCATAACAGTCGGGGTGCTGTCATGGGACTTTGGTCAGCATGCGCTTCAGTTGGAAATATAATGGGTACATTAGTTTCATCTCACACCATACAGTTAGGATACGAGGTAAGTCGTTGAATATTGAAGCAGAAACATTTCCTTGCCAAAAATTTTCTTTGTTCTTTCCTTCTCATCATTTACTGCTAACCATTCTCCTACCTATAAAATGACTAGTTTTATGGTTGAGATGTGATCTAGTTTTATGCGTTTATAATTCAGACTACCTAACAGTCTGCCCTTCACAAGACTATCGATAATCAATGACCACTTGTTATTATTAATAGATTTTTATGATACCACATTTCAGTATTCGTTTGCTGCAAATGCATGTTCGCTTTTTCTCGGCGGATTTTTCATCTTTCATCTTTTACCATCACGAACTAGACATGGTAGATTTCAGGATTGTTTCTAAATTTGTTAATTGTTGAATTAGGTTTAATTACACATATATGCTGATGTTTTCCGGTTTTTTCCTGTACGGTACATTTAAAAATGTTCACTTTTCTGATTAAAAAAGCAAATTTTATGAGAAAAGCCTATCGAGTGATTCAATGTAGTGCATCTTCTAATTATTTATACCAGATACAGTCAAGTACCAATTTCTCGGAAAAAAAACTCAACAATGTCAATCATTTAACCATTCATCCTGAACTACTTTCTAATCATAAATGGGTAATTAGAAGTACATATTTGCTTAGTTGAATATTAAGTTATGCGTTCCATACAGAGCGTGACTTAGTAGTTTCTGTTGTGGATAATGTGGAGCGACCAAAGGCAATCAGTTTTTGGCAAGCTTGGCGTCTTCCAGGTGTGATTGCGGTGCGTTTCTCCATAATTTAAAGTTGAAATATTTAACAACTTTCAATAAATAAATCATTTGGATCATTGGAAATCTATTTGTATAATAATCTTATTGTTCAAATATTTCAGTACTCTTTGGCATACGCGTGCCTCAAGTTAGTTAATTATTCGTTTTTCTTCTGGTTACCCTTCTATCTGCATGCTCATTACGGATGGAAAGAATCTGTTGCTGATGAACTATCAGCGTGGTACGATATAGGTGGTATCATTGCTGCAGTTATTGCTGGCATTACTTCTGTGAGTTACCGAACTTTCATATCTCTCTGAAAAGACATTTACTAAACTATTTTCAAAGCATTAATTTATGAAAATCCTCATATTGATCATTTTTGAGGATCATTATCTTTGTTTTTGTTTAGGATCATTTCTCGTCACGTACTCCAATTTTGGTATGCATGCTGGTTTTTTCAATGGGCTCCTTGTTTGCTTATGCTAGTAAGTCTAATTATTCAAATTCTCTGCTGTAGTTGATGGTGCCAGCTTCCGTTTTATTGGAAAAGTTGTTTGGTACAAGTTTAAGTTTTATTCCGTGCATTTCAGTACACCATTCAACAGTAGTAAAAAATGTTAACATATGTCTATGCTGCCGAATATGAGACGGAAATTTAGCCAAAAAATATATTGAAGCAATGGGGCACGTTAAATTTAGCTAAATTTTTGGTAGAAGTAGTTGAACACTGTTTAAGAAAAAATGTGAATATTATGAGTAGAGTTATTACATTTTCTAGATTCACCAGGCAATGTTTTGATAAATTCATTCTTAATGGCATTAACGGGGTTTTTTATCGGTGGACCAGCCAATCTAATATCGTCTGCTGTTTCCGCCGATCTTGGTGAGCTTCTTTGATCGTATAATACTTTTTAATGTGCATCCAGAGAGATGAACTTCACTTCTAGAAATATCAGACATACTTATTCAAAGACGATTGTGTTTCAGCGAACGCCGAGCAAATTAGAGGATCCTCGGAAGCATTGAGTACGGTTACAGGTATCATTGATGGCTCTGGTAGTGTTGGTGCAGGGATTGGTCAACTTCTTATTCCAGAAATTGAAACTGTGTTTGGTTGGACAGCTGTCTTTTACGGTTTTATTATTATGGTACTGCATTTCATTACTTTGTTCACAGTTATTTATGCTTTAAAATTTGGATAGAATTTTCAATCAAAAATTTAGGACGTAAAATGATTATTATGGCATTATAGTGAAAAGCGACAAATTTGGATGTAATGTAGTGTTGGAGTTTTTGATATACTGGAGTTTTTGAATTGTAGATGCTGTGTACAATCTTTTGTTTGACGCCACTACTGTGGAAAGAAATGGCCAACAAACTCAATCCTCATTATGTACATCTACATTCCGAGGGCAGTAATGACTCGCTGGGATCGTGTTCCAATAGTACAACTGATTCAACTGTGGATAGTGCACAGCTACCGGTGAGAGCCAGGCATCGGAATTCACCAGATTAATTTAATTACTTTTCCATTCTTTTTTCTTTTCAAATGAAAAAATGTCGAACGTAAAGTTTTTTGATTAATGATTCCACTGTTGTAATAATAAGATCATTAAATGATTGTTGATTAGTATAAGCTGATTTGAAATACTGCCATTTTTGCTTTGAAATACTGTTGATCAATGTGGAGTGATGCTGATAGCTCAAATAATTTTTCTTGTACCTAAATTAAGTTACGTCTTTGCAAAGCATTGGATTTATTAACTAACTGGATTGAATACTTTCAAATGTCATATATCAAATATTTATTTCGGGTTAATTGTGAGTAGTATTTATAGTGGTAATGTTTTAAATTAATCTCATTAATGCTGCATAAATTTTGTGTCGATTTACTGTGATTCATTTCTTTCAATGGTTTCTATTTAATTAACTGATGGTAATAAATATTTGTCTGGATGATTATGATGTGAAAAAACATTTTTATCTATTGACAGTCACAGAGCTGAATAAACAGACAAGCAAGTTGTAAGGTTGCAAGGTTGTGAAGATTAGCGTAAGATGAATTCAGAGACAAGTAAGACTTTGGTAGTATGCTATCTTGCATACTTTAATAGCTAATAGAGTTTTTCTTTTTTTTTGTTAATTGAGCGAAAGCTTTTTTGCGCAACCATATCTTGCTATACATTAATCAGTTAGTAATACCTTATGTTATTAATCATCTATTTTAATGCTATTATAGAGTTTGAAGTGTTCTATCGTAAACAGAAATAAAGCAAAAATTTAATAATAACTAATGGTTTTTTTTTTTTTTTTTTTTTTAAAGATGAATTTGTTGAATTTATGAAATTTAGATATGTATTATATAAGCTGTATTATTTCATACAACATACGTATAAGATGTGATACGATAAGAGAGAAGAGGAAAAGAGAATTTATGTTATACA